GGAGGAGTAGCAGGAGCAGGGAGGTGAAAACACTTCACCCAGATGTTTTTACACCGCTGGAACACACTTTACGGCTGTCAGACGCACATAATAAGCGGCTCTTTTCTTTGCGCGTGTGTAGCTGTCACACTGTCTGATCAATGAGCCGAGCTGTTGGTGTGTACACACACACACACACACACACACACACACACACATCAGTGAGCCACACATGAATGAAAGCCTACCTGACCAGGTGAAACAAAACGGTTTATAAATATTTAAAACTCTGGGTCGGGACCCACCGATGGATCACTTAACAGTTATTTTAAGGTCTTAAAATTTTTTTTTTTTTTGGTTGATGGTTTGAAGTAAATGGTTTGTATGAATACACACACACAGTACTCTAGCACAGTGTGTGTACAGGTAGTGTTAGGTACTTGATTGTTGAGAATTTTTTACAACTCAATTTGTTTACTTTTAAGTCAAATTGTCAAAAAAAAAGGTTAATTTCCCAGAGATATTGCTTTTTGGACCTGCACTAGCTTAATGTTAGCAAAACAGCTTCAGATACTTTACCAAACGACTACAGTTAGCTGAGAAAAATAGACGTGTTTAATCCCTGAAAGCATATGTAGCAAACGTTATGAAGCTAATCAGCTAATATTTAGCTGTGATATAGCACAAGCAGCTAATAGTTAGCCGAGTGAAAGCTAAACGGATCTCGATCCTCAGTTAGACCGGTGTCTTACAGATGTGTGTCTGACCTGAGCGCCCGCTCTGGAACACCAAGATTATACTACATGACATGATTAGTATTCAGGACCATTTAGAGGAAACTGCTCTGCTCTATGTCATTGAACACTGTTCTCAATGGAATTTTTTTTTTTTTTTTTTTTGTTAAAAAGTGTTCGCACCTCACTTGGAGCAGCTTGGAGAGTGGAATTTGTTGCAGCAGCAGCAGCAGCAGCAGCAGCCAGAATCAGAGATGCAGCTCACGTCTCTGGCCAGAAACAAATTTAATTTGAAAAGCTTTGGGCTGTAAAGTGAGGACCTCACTTTACCAGGACTCACCCAGACTCAGAAATGAGCCAAACAGTGAGCAGAAAGAACAACAGTCAACAACAAAAACAACAACTGGTTGTTTTTTTAACCATATTCAATTCAGTGTGAAAAAGCATGTAGCAGTGTCCCCTCTTTCCAGAGTTCCCCTGTTGATCACTGAGACGCTTGTGTACATGTGCGATGAGCCGTATATCAGATGTGTATGAACCGAGAAATATTATTTTACAAACAGATCAGGGTTCGTCGTCTTCACGGAAAACAAAAAAAAAAACAAAAAAAAAGTCAAGTCATAAATAAAAACATCCAGCCAGAGAACTCTGGGCCATAA